AAACCCTAAACCCTAAACCCTAAACCTTAAACCCCAAGCGTTGAACCCTAAACCCTAAACCCTAATTTATAGTGTCTTGGGGCCTCCGGTCATACTTCGTCTCTGGTAAAGCCAAAATGACTTAAAGATATCACAAAGAAGCGGCCCCAAGGGGGGCCCCCCCAAAGGGCCCCTGGGGGGCCCCCAAGGGGCCCCCAGGAGCCCCCCAAAACCCCCCGGGGGGCCCCGGGGGGCCCCCGGGGGGCCCTTCGGGGGCCCCTGGGGGCCCCCAAAGGGTAACTTGAGGGGCCCTAGGGGGCCCCCAGGGGGCCCCCAAAGGCTTTCTTGAGGGGCCCCAGAGAACCTCTGGGTACATTTAGGGGGCCCCCAAAACTCTGGGGGCGCCTAAAGGTACCCACGGGCCCCCGAGAGGCCCCTGGGGGCCCCCCAGGGGCCCCCAGGGGCCCCTCGGGGGGCCCCTGGGGTGCCCCAGAAAGGCCTCGGGGGGCCTCAGAGGCCCCCCGAGAAAGGCATCTGAAAGCCCTGTGGAGTTTGTAGCGAGTGTGGGGCCCTAAACCCTAAACCCTAAACCCTAAACCCTATGTGGGGCATTGGCTATTTTGTAAATTTGAAAAGGTTGTAATTCTTTTCTTTTTGGCATTTAAACCCTAAAAATGGGAATTTGAATTTAAAATAGAAAAATAATTTAAAAAATAAAGTTAAACTTTTCAACTGGAAAACACTTGAGGGCCAAAGAGAAGTTTTGTTTGTCTTTGAGGCAGCAGGGGAATAATAACAAATAAATAAATAAATAAATAAATAAATAAATAAATAAATAAATAATAAATAATAAAAATTAATTAGTTGTAAATAAAGAAATAAAGAAAGGGGGAGTCGGAGAGACGGGCAGCGCAAAAGAAGAAAAACGCGCGGACTCCAAACCCTATACCCTAAACCCTAAACCCTAAACCCTAGTCCCTTGGGGTACAAAAAAACACCGAAGGCCACATAAGAGGGCCTGCACGAGAAGAATAGCCCGAATTTAAGTCCAAACCCTAAACCCTAAACCCTAAACCCTAGATGAAGTAGCCCGGCAAGCCCCTCACAATCTGCAGCAGCACAAACAGCGGGCAGTTCCCAAGGACTACAAAATTAGGGTTTAGGGTTTAGGGTTTACGGTTTAGGATTTGGTGAGGACTTGCTGCTTAAAGAGCGCTTCAGGGCCCCGGGTCAAGCGGGTAGCGTTTAACTTAGGGCTAGGGTTTAGGGCCCATGGCTAGGGTTTAGGGTTTAGGGTTTAGGGTTTGTACCTCAGGGTCTCCTCTTTCTGGCGCATGTTTAAAGGACAAAAACCTCCGGCATCCCCTTTCATCCAGCACCAGCAGAGAAGCCTAAATGAACCCAACAAACTAGGGTTTAGGGTTTAGGGTTTAGGGTTTGGACTCCACGCTATTTGTCTTAGCAATTTAATTGTCCAAAACCCTGAACCCTAAACCCCAGGCGCTAAACCCAAGGGGCTTGAAGCCCTAAAATCCAAACCCCTGGGTTCTGGCCGCCCCTAAACCCTAAACCCTAAACCCTAAACCCTAAACCCTAATCTGCTGCTCACTTTGTTGCCGCATCTGTAGCAGTAATTGGGAGCGCTGAAGACGGTGCAGACTTTCGCCTCGTGGCTCCTGCAGCCCCACCCAAACCCTAAACCCTAAACCCTAAACCCTGAACCCCAAACCCTAAACCCTAAACCCCAAACCCCAAACCCTAAACCCTAGCTCACCATTGGTATCCGTCTGCAACAAGCTGGTGGGCTCGGCAAACGCATTTTAAATTGTTGAGATGCAAAAAGCGCTCTGTCACTTCCTGAGCACAAACCCTAAACCCTAAACCCTAAGCCCTAAACCCTAAACCTTAAACCCTTCGGCAATCCCTCTCCAGCTGGCTACAACTGGGCTGCTGCAGCTAGCTGCGGCAACCAGCTGCTGCTGCTACCTGCAGCGGCAAGCTGCTGCAGCAGCTAGCTGCTGCAGCAGCTAGCTGCTGCAGCTAGCTGCTGGAGCAATCAGCCCCCACAACGATTAGCAGCTGCAGCAATTAGCTGCTGCTGCAGCTGGCTGCAGCAGAAAATACCTGCCGCAGCAGCAAGCTACAGCTGCAAGTAGCCGAAGCAGCAGCAGCAGCAGCAGCAGCAGCAAAAGCTGCTTACTTTGCCCCAAAGAAGCCCGGCGCCTCTGCTGCTGGGGGCGAAGCCTTCGCTGTCAAGTTTGATAATTCCATTTTTGAAATCTTCTTCTAAAAACTCATTTTTAGAAATTAAATCATTATTATTATTATTATTATTATTATTATTATTCAAATAATAGCTGCTGCTGCTGCTGCTGCTCTTGTCTTCGCTTGAAACGCCCCCGCTGCTGCTGCTGCTGCTGCTGCTGCTGCTCGATGCACTAACAAC